GAGAGAAGGATGAAGAAACACCTGACAGCCAAACGGGACAGACGGTATATCAGAGCTGAATGGAATTTGGATGCTAGAAGTGGATGCTGCTCTCCACATGCAATAAGAAACAAAGGCCAGATCGAACAAGTGAAATTCAATTTAGGGCCAAAGGTGGGTAAGGAATATATGGCTGGCACTGTAAGAAGGTCATTTATGAATATGATGTTTGTATGTTTTGTTGAAATTATTCAAGTTCTATAAAAGACAGGCACACAGACTGAAGGTTAAAATAAGATTTGGCACAAAAGCACCACGTCCTACATAATGTAGTACTACTAAAATGCTGCAAAATGGAACTTGGCACTATGTTTAGACGTGGAAAAATTAGACTGTGAGATCACATCTCCAGGTCACATATAGCATATACAGTATATATATATATATATATATATATAATAGGGCTGGGCAACGCATCCAAAATAAAAGGTTGTGTTTACATAATACTGTATATGTGTGTGTACTGTGTATAATTATTTTGTATATAAAAATTCACACACACACATGTATATATTTAAGAAAAATGTGTTAATATATAAAATATTTATATTTATATTTAATATAAATTATGTATGAATATTATATATTTCTTAAATATATACAATACATACACAATTTATATATATATACAAAATAATTATACACACTACACACACATATATTATGTAAACACAAACTTTATTTTGGATGCAATTAATCGTGATTAATCGTTGCCCAGCACTAATATATACATAGAGCCTATATACACAGTCCTTCCATATATACTGTTATTTTATTGTACGGATATTTTCATGACAATTAGTTGCATTTATCCTTAAATAATCTTATTTTTTTATTATCATTATTCTTACTGGTGATTTTGATTAGATTCTCATCTATGTTAACCTACATAAATCCGCATAAATATCATTATTTTGTGTTACAATAATGTGAATGGGGTTATTTATTTTTGCATTACAGTAATATGAAATGTGCATGATTGTCATGGAAATAATGGCAAAATCTTAATTATACTGAAATTTTACTTTTCTGCATGAATATACAGCATATATACACTGTTCAACCACTTACTTTTTACAAACTTTCACAAAGAAATAACTTTTCAGTGTATACTGTTCAGACACAGTTTATACTGTTTTAACAGTTCGAAATCCCTTTCAAGCTTTATGAACCAATCACAGACATTATGCATGATCTAAAAAGGTAATTATGGGCTCTCGTGACAAACTGAAGTGAAATCTAAATGTATTCTCATTTTTAATTAAGTCCCTCAAAGCGAAAAGGAAGAAAGTATAAACACGACGGAAGTCCTGATAAAAAATTTCTGATCAGCTCAGCTGTGTAGTTGGCAGCAGTATATTAGTTATACTGATTAGAATTGAGGCTGTAAAAGCCTGAGAATATACCTTTCTTTCAAGAAGACAAAAGAACTCCTTTGTTTTTGGTGTCTGTGTAGGCTTTCTTTGAATTATCATCCTGCAGACAACTATATCACAAGTCTTATGTACTCACACCACCCAGAAAAGCTTTTGAAACACTAAAAATAAAACATTTGCAGAGAGCCGAGTTATTTTATTACCAAAAAGCAATGTAGGTACAAGCTTTGAGGAGAAAGCTTTTAATGCTAACCGCTCTGCGTGAATTATGAGAGCTATATACAAGTTTTAAAATCACATATGCACCCCCAACAATCCTCTGCTTTTCCTGCTATTATCATGGGTGACATGTCTTTGTTTATAAGAGCAAACACAAGGCAGAGCATTACTGAATCACACAGTTCCCGCGGGAGCATCGAGGAGTTCCTTGGTGATATACCACCCCATGACTTATTTATCAAAACCCCCATTTGTCTCATCGGAGACGCACACTAATGAGTCTCAAATGAGGGAGAGAACGCAGCCGTAACACCAGTTTCATCATCCTTAAAACAAACTCCATTCATTACGCTTATGGACTGGGCGGCTCTGTCTCAATAGAGTTGGATAAAAAAAAGACGGAGGAGAAAACCAAAAGATACTACGGCAAATGTTGAGTTCCCAGGGTGGGTCAGCAGCTTTCATTCAGTCTCTCTGGTCCATTTATGGACAATCAATGTTGGTACACTATGAGCCCGTCGGCGTGACAACAAATGCTATATAGGTTTGAAAAAGAGAACAGCGTGGTAAACACCCACCCCACCATTATTCCAAAAATGATCCTGAAACGCGCTCAGCACAACCTTCTGTGAGGGTCTGTCAAATGCACTTTTGGCACTAGCAAAGGGCAAAACCGCTGTCCAAGTGTGACTGGTCAACAGCTGGGTTCACAAATAACGAATGCTGGAACAAGTGTGTTAGCAGTGCTATTTCTGTGTTTGTTTGTTTATATATATGTTTGTTTATTTCTCCTTGTGGATTCTTCAAGTGTGGCTTACTGAAGCAATTTTCCGCCTGGTCAGATTTAATGTGTTTCCACTGTTTATCCGCTGTCAGGCAAATGTTGATTTATATACATTTGATTTGCAAATGTGACTCATTACGATTGGGTGGCTGAACGGTTTATCTTTCATGTCTCCGAGAGGATGTTTGGCTACTTTTAAAGGTATGGTTGTTCACAGACTGAGCAGTAATAATGACAGAGATAAAGACATTTGGAAAGGGATTGTGGGAACTGTTTTTGTGGATGGATGGACGGATGAATGGATGGATGGACGGATGGATATATGGATGGATGGTTGGGTATGGATGGATGGATGGTTGGGTGGATGGATGGATGTATGGGTGGGTGGGTGAATGGATGTATGTATGGGTGGGTGGGGGTGGATGGATGGATGTATTTGGATGGATGGGTGGATGGGGGGAACTATAGTCATTCCTCAGTTCTACTTCAACTTATTTACTTGTCCAATCAATCAATCAATCAATCAATCAATCACCAACCTTAATAATCTAAAGTAGAACTTTAGTAGATTGATTGACGGATGGATGCATGGATGGATGCATGGATGCATGGTCCTTAAAACAAAATTCATTACGCTTATGGACTGGGTGGCTCTGTCTCAATAGAGTTGGATAAAAAGAAACGGAGGAGAAAACCAAGATACTACGGCAATGTTGAGTTCCCAGGGTGGGTCAGCAGCTTTCATTCAGTCTCTCTGGTCTCTCAATCAATGTTGGTACACTATGGATGGATGGATAGATTATTATTAAGGTTGGATTGATTGATTGATTGATTGATTGATTGATTGATTGATTGATTGATTGGACCAGTAAATAAGTTAAAATATAACTGAGGAATGACTACAGTTAGCACGGGTGTTAACCTTATGTTTATGTTTATAGTCATCACAAGAATGCCCCTTTGATTCCCAGAAATGCTGTCTAGGTAGGCACATCACTCGCTTTTGAGACCCCACTGCTGAGAATAATGAAAAGCAATCTCCGAAATCTCACTTCAACCACTAGTTATTAACCGGCGCTACCTGAAGATATCAGATGTGAAACACCAATCCTTCACTCCCGGCCTCAATTCTACACCTTCACCCACAAAACCCTGTCACTATCTCACCTTCATCCTCAACCCAATAAATACCAAATACCACCAACCTCCATGTCAAGAAGCATCTCTTCCAGTGTTTATTAGTCTTTACACACGTCACGGCAATGGTCACACTGAAGCTGTTTAGGCTAGTGTACCAACAGGAAATCTGTATTCAGGTTATGATGTAATGACATCTAGCTAATGTCCAAATCAATCATGCAGCAGCACATCTAGACAAAACACTAACTGTCAAGGAAAGAATTTTCAAGAGGAAGGATGATACTTAATGGATTTACATTTACATTTGTTCATTTAGCAGACGCTTTTAACCAGAGCGACTTAAACAGTGAATTTGCTTAATAAAATAATTTTTTGATGGAAAAATTGTGTCCATGACTTGTATTATGCAGTAACCATTTTACAAAATCAATAAAGCTATCGAGGCCATTTCACATGATGAATACAGTCAAGGATAAAGGGGTTAAAGACATTTTGCAGCACATTGCGATGAGCAGTCATCTTTTATGGAGAATCTATTCACAATCCACGTAAACATCAACATAAATATAAAGTAAACGATACATGAATCCTATAAAAGGAACATGGATGTAATGTAAAAATGTATCGCTCCTTCAAGGCATAATTCAGATTCAAACATTTTTATAAAAGATCCTATGAATTAACTCAATGTCAATATTACGGTAGACCTACTGTATCACACATTTGAGGAATTTTTATACATTTTTAAAAATACATGACATAATACAAATAAAATGATAATAATAATAACAAAATAAAAACAATACAAATTGAGGAAGAGGATACTGCAGCACACTAGTGAAGGTGTTTGGGAATGAACACCGATAAGGCTGTGTGTAAAATTGTAAACATTTGTGTACATTACACCCAAATGCCCCTCTCAACGACAAAAGCGCTGTTTAACAGCTGCAGAGTGCATGAACAGCCCCCTGGTCGACTCGAAACGGTTTGAGATACAAATGCTCCCCCGAGACGACTTCGGCAGTCGAGAACGGGCGTGTGGAGGATTGATGCGTGTGCGTGTCAGTAATCATAACCCACTGTACATGCGTAATGCTGCCTCTCGCACTTCCAGCGCTCATAAGAAAAGGAGGGAGAGATGTGATTGATATTGGTTTTTATGCAAATGTAGCATTTGTAAATGTACAACACGATACAATTTGCATAGTCATTCAGTCAGTGCCGTTTATAAGTGCATTAATCCAGCGCCGCTCTCCTTAGAACAGCTGCTTACACAAAGCCAGCGCGAAAAGAACAACGCTTTGCAAATGGGACATGACTGCCCATGTGTGCATCTTCACCCCTGTATTTTTTTGGTGATGGGTCGCAAACATGAAAAGCAATTTTCTATGAAATGAAAGGGAGTTGCATGTAAATGTATGCATTGTATTAGGCAGACTGACCTCGGATATGTTGACGCGGCCCTCTTGGAAAGAGCAGTCGTTGGCATTGTGGGTGCACATGTGTCGGTATTTGCACCAGTGGCATGGAAAGGAGCCGTTCACACAGGAGAGACACCTATCAAGAGAAAACGAGTATTGTTATTTGTAAAATTACTCATTCTATTTAAACCAAAACATTTCCACACAACATAATCATGCTTGTCTTAGCACAATCATAATGCAGTTTTGTGGTTTGTATAATATAAAACAATGTGTTGTCCTAGATGGGAATGAATCAGATTTTGATTTAACAAAAAGGTGTGCCTCAAGGCTCAATACTGGGACCACTTGTGTTTTATCATGTGAAGCACTCCTTTGCATAAAGTTGATACTATTATATCTTGTATGGCTTGATTTTAATCACCTATTAATCATGTTTTACACAGTCAACTTTGGAATTGTATTTTACATCGATCTCAAAATTGTTTTTCGTACAGTGTTTGTAAGAAACTTGTTTCTTAAAAGGTTAGTTCACCCAAAAATTATGTCAGTATTTACTCACCCTAATGTTGTTCCAAACCTCAATGTGTTTATTTGTTCTGCTGAACAGAAAGGAAGATATTTGGAAGAATGTTTTAATCAAACAGATCTCATTCCCCATTGACTACTAATACATACTATGGTAGTCAATGGGGAATGAGATCTGTTTGATTAAAACATTCTTCCAAATATCTTCCTTTCTGTTCAGCAGAACAAATGAACACATAGAGGTTTGGAACAACATGAGGGTGAGTAAATACTGATTGAATTTTCATTTTTGGGTGAACTAACCCTTTAACTAATATTTCCGCCCCTTGATTATTGTGATGATGTTTTTCAAACGACAACAAAATTAGATATTGCTTCATTTGATACAGCATATAATAGACTTTGCAGATTTGTTTTGGGTTGTCATCAATTTATATTTAATTGTATTTATTTTAATTATCCCACTTATTTATAACAATAATTTGTACCTTTTGTTTGTATGACGTATTTAAATGCATATCCGAGGCGTTTCATTCCCTGGCAACCGTCCATTAAACCCTATTACCAAGATGGTTTTTCAAACAAATCTACCTCTTTTATGTCTTCTCTTTCCATCTTTCAAGCAGAGGTGACAAAGAGCGGGTGATGTGAGATGGACAGAGATTGAGACAGATCAAAGACATGTCGGAAAGATAGAGCGAACTAACGCTCCCATCAAACAGCAAAGAAAAAGAAAGCAAAAGATAAGACGCAAACACACAAACACAATCCATTCATTCAGGTATCACACAAAGTAAATGACCAAAGCTTCACATTCAACAGTTTAAAGTGACATTTACATCAACAACACTGATGATTTGTTCGTTTAAGACATTTAACGACTGAGCCCACATTTGACAGAGTTGGCACCTCAAGGTGAAGAAAATAAGAATGCCAGACACGTCACAAACAACACTGATCTGTCAACTTTCCACACATCGCACTGAGACAAAGGTGTAGGTTGGCTTTGTTGCTATGGATACAGAGGAAGATTTTGTTGCCGTTTGGCAGAGGAGGACAAGGACGCTGGTCTGTACTCTAGTCTCAGAGACTCGTCTCAAAAAGTCATAACAGAAGAGCTGCGTGGGAGCAGTTTCTTATCACACATTCGGCATAAACTTCAGAATGAACTGAACTTGACATAAGAGGTGGAAACAGATTTGTGTGGTACTTCTAAACCATTACACAACTGTACAGGTGAAGTGAGTAAGTTCTGTGTCACTTTATATACATATAAATATGGACACTTTATCATGCAAAGGCAAAAAAAGTATATACTGCTTTGGGGGTCAGTACATTTTTCAAAATGTTATTAAACAGTCTATTATTCTTACCAAGGCTGCATTTATTTGATCCAAAATACAGTAAAAATTGCAATATTGTGAAATATTATTAAAGTTTTGAATATTATATTCCTATTCTATATTTCTATTTTATATATTTTCAAATGTAATTCCTTCCTGAGCTACATTTTCAGCATCCTTCTCCAGTCTTCAGTGTCACATGATCCTTAAGAAATCATTCTAATGCTGATTTTCTGCTCAAGAAACATTTTTCATTATTATCAGTGCTGTTAAATGCTGTTCTTTTTATCTTTATAGTCACCAAATAATCCTTAAAAAAATCGTACACAACTGTTTTCAACATTGAAACGTTTCTTGAGCAGAAAATCAGCATATTAGCTTTGCCAACACATATATAAATTACATTTAATATTCAAAGACTGCAAAATAATTTCTAAATATTACTGTATTTTTGATTAAATAAATGCACCCTGGGTGAGCATAAGAGACTTACTTTAAAAACATTTAAAAACATATCCGATCCCAAAATTTTGAATAGTAGGAAATGAAATATACATGGACTTGGACGACTTTAAATAAATCTGAATCAGTTGCTATTTACGCCCAAGCTCTACAACTCAAATGTGGAAGTACAGCCCACATAGAGTGCCACTTCCTCAGTATTTTAAGACACACTCCGCAAACTCCATGTAGCTCAGCGCTCCCGAATTCTCCCCAGATGGACCGTGCTTTTCTCATATCATGAAAAGGCTTCTGCGGTCAGTGAAAGCATCACAAAGAGGCGAGAAGTGCGCTCTACGCCTCTTCCCCTGTCTGTGCCAAATGTTCAAAGGCTTATGATCACGTCCGCTGCTGGTGCAGGATAAAGCTTTCTCCTCACTCTGCTCCGACTACATGAGACACAAGAGCCGCTGAATTAACGGACCAGCTGAACCTGACGCACGGAAATACAGAGATTCTAAAGCAGTGGAAAGAACACGAGGCTGAGAAAAGGAGAAAAACGAGGATGAAACGACAAAAAGGAACAGAAAGAGACAGAAAGGGAGGAGAGCAGAGCAAAACGAGAGAGCTAGAAGGGGGAAAAGAGAGAGAAGAAGCATCCACTAATGAATGTCACATTGGCACACTTTGATCTTGTATTATTCAGATCTTACTCCTGAAGTGGCACCTAGATTACAACCCATCACTGCTGACACACACCTCAACAGCCTCATGTCATCCTGCTTACTGCCAGTATTGTGAAACAGTTCGTTCAAACTATTTCAATTGTCAACAAACCATTTTTTGAAAAAAATGTACTTTCTAAATGTTCCCTTGAAATCCACTTACAATGCTAATAAAGTTCTTGCAACATAATTAAAAATAAAAGGATGAAAAAATGAAGAAAAAAATGATAAATACAATATAATAAGTTGATTAAAAGTTATGTTTACATTAATTATTGTTCATTTATTATTGTAATCATTAATGCAATTATCTAATCACAGGCAGTTGCTTCGATGCATTTCGGGGTGTGGTCCTGGTCAAGACAATCTCCTGAACTCTGAATGAGTTTTTCACAATCTGCTCAGTTACTGGGATTTTCACGCACAACCATTTCTAGGGTTTACAAAGAATGGTGTGAAAAGGGAAAAACATCCAGTATGCGTCAGTCCTGTGGGCGAAAATGGCTTGTTGATGCTAGAGGTCAGAGGTGAATGGGCCGACTGATTCAAGCTGATAGAAGAGCAACTTTGACTGAAATAACCACTCGTTACAACCGAGGTATGCAGCAAAGCATTTGTGAAGCCACAACACACACAACCTTGAGGCGGATGGGCTACAACAGCAGAAGACCCCACTGGGTACCACTCATCTCCACTACAAATAGGAAAAAGAGGCTACAATTTACAAGAGCTCACCAAAATTGGACAGTTGAAGACTGTAAAAATGTTGCCTGGTCTGATGAGTCTCGATTTCTGAGACATTCAGATGGTAGAGTCAGAATTTGGCGTAAACAGAATGAGAACATGGACCCATCATGCCTTCTTACCACTGTGCAGGCTGGTGGTGGTGGTGTAATGGTGTGGGGGATGTTTTCTTGGCACAATTTAGGGCCCTTAACGTCAATTGGGCATAATTTAAATGCCATGGCCTGCCTGAGCATTGTTTCTGACCATGTCCATCCCTTTATGAACACCATGTACACATCCTCTGATGGCTACTTCCATACTTAATGCACCATGTCACAAAGCTCAAATTATTTCAAATTGGTTTCTTGAACATGACAATGCGTATGGTGTTCCTATAACCCTTTAGGTTTGTGTATATATATATATATATATATATATATATATATATATGTGTGTGTGTGTGTTTAAATTTACAAAGGAAAAAAAAAAAGACTGTTAGTGTGTTAACCTCCACATTATATATTCGAAATATGCAAGTTTAATGCTAAGCAAACAATGATAATGAATGAAGAGGCTCACAGGACAGGAAATCAGAACTACATAGTGCAAACCCTGAGGCTCTAACACACACACACACACACACACACACGCATGCAAAAAGAGAGAGGGCAGTCTATTCACCAGTGTGTATCTCCTGTGCCACATGCATGGGCTCTTTTCATATTAAAATGCACGAGCTACAGCTAACCTTTCAGCCTCGGGAGTGCTTTATCGCTTCAACAAAAGCCACCATCTATCCGTCTTTTTCTGATTTCCCCTCCTTAGTCACTCCGTGCTCCTCTTGTTAAAAATGCATCGGGTCCCTCACATGCTCGATTAAGCCGTTCCCTCCCCCTGTCTCATGCTAAACTCTAATATTGTTACGCTGCGTGTAAATAGCTAGCAGGGTAATTTGCCGTGCCAAGCAGGAGCCCCACTGCCACACACACACATAATACACACATCCAGTAATCACTAGGGCAAAATAGTGTGCCTTAGTCACACTTAGATGTACACACACACACACACGTGGAGCACCAGGTGAGCACTTCATCGCGTCCAGTTTTAGATGAAGTGGCTGTGTTGCTAATGGGTCGGTGCCATGCTAATGCAAAGCACGCTGAGCTAACGAAGGGCACACAGCCTGACTTAATGAACGAGAGCGAGAGAGGATGAGAGACACTGGAGCTCAAAACATCTGGAGTCGCTCCTGCCTGGAGCACAACCTGTTGTCTATCCGGAGAGGGATGGGAATGTGAGGAGGAGGAGGAGGAGGAAGAGGAGGATGAGACAGTAAGAGCCATGGGACTGAGAGAGAGAGGCTGAAAATAGGGTCAAGAAAACAAAGCGATGCTAGTGCCATGGTTTTGGAAAGGCTCAATCAAATGTTCTCAATCAAATTAATATGCAATTATTAATTGATTCAAAAGTATATTAAAGAATGTTTTTTTTTTTCAAATCAATTTCCGACTTAAAAATAATAATTTCACTATTGTTTGTAAATGTCAAAGTGGCTTTAAAACTTAAAAACAGCCTACTGTATGTAAAAAAAGGTTAAATATTATTTAAATAAGTTAGTACACCAATTTAGTGTTATTTTAGTATCATTTAGATAGGTTTTATTCATATTTTGAGTTTCATTTAATTTTTAGTTAGTTTTAATAATTGTGATTTGTGGTTTCGTCATTTTTAGTAGTTTTTTTAATGTCTAAACAGTTTTTATTTAAGTTTTAGTTTTAGCTATTTTAGTACATCAAGTTAAACTAAAAGAACATGATAAATGTTGCCTTGACGACTATCTGCAATAAAAAAAGGTTATTTTAAATTTTATTTAGCTTCAATTTATTTTATTTCATGCAATGGAAGTATGGTTTTAGTTAACTATAATACTATATGCAAAATAAAAGCTAGTGTTGCATAACCAACGTGCACAAAGGAGTCAAAAAAAAAATCATAGACCAGGAAATTCAGTAAGCCTCTTAAAAATATGATATAAAGGATCTTTCAATTACATGGCAAAGTTAGTTTGTGTTGTCAAATGTACCAATCCCCCCAAAAAAGTTATGATATTTATGATATTGTCTCAGGATGAAGACAAAGGGAAGACAGGATCCAATACGGAGTGATTTTTATATTACAACAAACACAGGAAAAGACAGAAAAGTTTAACAGTGAGTGTGTGAAACATCGACCGACAACCAAAGACTAAAAACGAGAGGAACTAAATACACAGAGATAATGAAATAAACAGGTTTGATGATTATATGAGTGTCCATGACAACCGATTACTGGCGGGAAAATCAAACGGAACACATGTGACTGATAAAAACAAATGGAAAGTCCATGAAAACAAACTAACTGAACATAACGGTGACAGATATTTAATTTGTCATACTAATACCTTAAAACATTTTTAATGAGCTATTAAACAAAATAAGAATGTTGATATTTTATGAACGTTTGGAAAAGAAGGAAACCAAAACAAATGCATTTCAGACTAGCTTATTTTTTTTTTCCTTTTCAACATTGCGGACATCTGAGAACAGAGAACTGTTGGATTTCAGCAAAGGAATGGGAGCAAGAGAGAGCGAGTGATGTAAGAACTGCGGGAATATAACTCATGAGCAGTAAAGCAGGACGGCTCAAGTCAGGGATGCTCATGAGTCGTTAATGAAACGACATTAAAAGTCTGATCTCATCCCTGATATCAGCGAAAAACTGCAAACACCACACAAAAATAACATCCCTCTATCACTCAGAAGCAGTAAACACACACACACACACACACACAAAACCCATAAAAATAAACTCGGAGAGTTAGCCGACAGGAGGCTGCCTTCTCTCTTTCCCGTGTGAGACTTACGACTGATGGACACTGCAGTTGTAGAAGACAAAATCCACGCTGGCAAACTTCTTCCCCGTCTCCTTGGATTTCAGATAGAGCTTCACCACCCTCTTGTCACCTGCCAGCAGAAAAACAGTGAGCTTCAGCGCTTTCTAACAAGCTTTTAAAAGAGTGTGCGTGCGTCACCTTACCCTGGTTGCGTGTGATGGGAGCGATCTCCCGTGCGGAGGGGGACAGGCAGTAGATGCGTCCCCCCATGATGTGTCCCTCCGTCTCAGTGTAGTCCTCAAACGAACAGTTGACGCCAGCAGCCAGACTGGGGACGTTCTGAGCCTGGAGAACCAGCTGTAGGAACGAACACAGATCAGGAGACAAGAACAGATTTTCAATTTTAACGTGCATTATTGGCATGACACACACTGAACATTTGTACAAAAGACACCTGGGCTTTCATTTCCAGTTACTATTGAGGATATTTTTAGCCGTAATGCGTCTCCAGTGCAGTCAGACAGACATCTGATCACAATTTACTGCGCAAAATTGCAAATCCATATTACATGAAAGCTTACATTGCTGAAACACTTCTATCATTTATTGATAGGTGATTCAAAACGTTACTTTGTGCATTTCGTATCTTTCGTTTCTTATCTTGTTAATAGGGATTAGAAGAGAAGAAGTGGGGAGAAAGAGAAATTCGAGATTCCAAGTGTAATCCAGTCACTAAAATCATATTGATAAACAATTTTAAAATAAATTAATTTTATTTTCGGTTTAAAAGCTAAATCTAAATCAATAAAAAAATGTTTTTATATTTTTTAAAAAAAGGTTGATTTATATAGAAGCTTGTTTCTGCCACAGAATAAAACATTTTAAAATATAATTGCGACATTTTATCTCACAATTGCAATTCTGAGTATTACGAGTATAAATCTTGCAATTTCTCAGAATAGCGAGATATAAAGTCAGAATTGTGATTTAAAGTCACAATTGTGATATAAAGTCAGAATTGCGAGATATAAACTAGAAATTACGAGAAAAAAAGTAAATTTCTAAGGAAAAAATCCTTTTATCTCACAATGTGACTTAATAACATGCAATTGCAACTTTATATCACACAATTCTTACTTTATGACACAATTGTGACTATATTATGCAATTCTGAAAAAAAAAAAAGATTTAAACTCGGAACAGTGAGAAAAAAAGTCAGAATTGTGAGATAAAAAAGTCGCAATTATTCTTTATACTGTGGCGGAAACAAGCTTCCATAGATTTAATTAGGTGAGCAAAAACCAAGAGCAAAGTGTCAGCTGTCGTCTTTTATGTTGTAAAAGGCCAATAAAACAAACAAGGTAAGAAAAAAAAGCCTTATTAATATTACATATGTAGCTGAATGTGCATAACCTAAACCACCAATGGGTTTTCAATTCTGATCACAATAAAGAGATTTCATTCACAAACAAACACACTTGCCTGAACTTCAGACATGGTGACTGAAATATTGCTGGGCTGGACCGTGAGTCGGACGCACTGCTCCAGTCTGGAGGCGAAGCGTTGGGGCTCATCAGCTCTCTCACAGCGGTCCTTACGTGAACATCTAAACACAGATATTACTCAGCAGGAGGGACAACGCCATTACAATCATTCTCTGAGAATAATCAATCAGGGGGATCAAGTGCATACTTTATTAATAAGCTGATTAGGTGTGTTGTGTGAAGAGGAATGACACCCGCCATCTTGTGGCATCTATGTATTTATGACGTCACGCATAGTGTCAACAAAGCAATTAGCTTTATATTAAAACCAAACCGTCTACAATATGTCCCCATTTATATAAATCCATGTAAACGTGTGTGTATGTGTGTGCGAGCAGCTGTGGAGTCAGGAGGTGAAGATACTCACACACTGTGCAGGACACACCAGCCGCAGTGGGGATCACCAGACGCCAGACACTCGCTACAGCTGCTGTACTGCTCACAGCTCTCCACCGGCACACGGCTCACCTACAGAAACACGAGCCTCGAAATTAACTCTCAAAATAACACTTCTTTGTATTTCAACACGTATTTTTATTTCCAGTTGAAGTTAGAAAATAGTTCCATCTAACAAAAAAATCTCACTTTCCCCACACAGTATCAGTTAGCTGTGTAATGAGCCATTAGCTTAGCATTATGCTAACGCTACAGTCTGACTGGAATCAGCTCTAAGTGTCCTGTGAGAAATGTTCAAGTTAAGCTCATTTGACAGCATTCATTACATAATTTTATATACCACATAAATTCTTTGACAAATTTCATCCCCCATTTTAAAAACAGAAGGGAAAGAGCAATGTAAACCAATAGCATTAGCGTCTAGAGCAGTTAAAGTTGAGTTCTGGTCCGTATATTAGTGCACATTTATAGATGCAGTTTAGTTTTGGTTGTAGGAAACTACTTTTGTTTTTGGCAGACGCTTTTATCCAAAGTGGCTTACTTTGAATTCAAGGTAGGCTACATACATTTTATCATGTTCACGGAGGAACGGAACCCACAATTACGGCATTGCAAGACAGATGGAAATATCAAAATGATCAACCTGCTTGATGCTTTCAGAGTGCTTTGTGAAATCTGAGCACTGCGGCCCAAAACAGGTTGCCACATTCACCATCACTGTCAGCAGTTCAACAAACACACACTTACTCATTCACACAGGCGTCTTGCATATTACAAACGTCCAACATAGATTACAGCTTGCTGAAACTCGCTGAGAAATATTGGGAGCCACCTACACATGTCTACTTTCATATAGTTTCATTCAGCCATCATAATGTCTGACTGGCAATCGATCGGCTCTCAGGAGACTGGCTCCATTCCAAATCTAGACGGCTCCCTACCTAGACAGCATTTTTATTTATATAGGCATCATATGATGCTTGCAACAAGCTCAAATAAAGTTCAAAGTGGTGGAGAATATTTTAAACGCAAAATGCTGGGTTTTCATTGTGATTTTTGATATTGTAGGCCTAATACAAAAGGACAGAAGGATTACAAGGAGAAAAAAAGACAAAGAAAATGGCAAACGACAGAGTACTAATGCAACAGTTTGACATATTAAATACATAATGTTGTGGTTCTGGCTTTTTGGTCCTGCCATAAAAGAATGAGAGATTGCAGTTCTTTGTGGTAGGGAGTGTTCGTCTGGAGCATTTCAATTAAGCCGATTTTCCAATCGGAGAGTTGAGTATTGTGTCCTACCTATGCTCTTTGTTTAAACGTCAGGGTTGGAGACTATTATACAGCAGCCATTCATACGAAAGAGAGAGAGAGCTCTCATCCCGCTCTATTTAAACGGCTGAAAGAGAAACCATTCATCTCTCCACAAGAGGAGGAGAAGCAAGGGGTGTATTAAATATAAATAACATCTGTAAAATGAGGCACGCGGCATTTGGGTCACAATGGAAAATTATCTCAATCAGAGAGCGTAGCAACATTCGGTTGTGTTCGAACTCAGTGGGTCTGAGATTAGCTTGGACCCCCATAAGTTGAATTATTGCCATGACATATGTTTGTTTTTTCAATAAAATAGAGTAAAAATAAATAAATAAATACATTTTTTTTACACTACACCTATATATATATATATATATATATATATATATATACATAAAATATTAAATATTAAAATAAAAATATATAAAAATAATGATTAATATAATAAATATAAAATATAGTGTTTAATAAATGTGAAAATATTGAACTACTAAATAAAATAAAATACATAATTTATTACAAAACATACATTACTAAATATAAAATAATGTAAAAATAAGAAAATAAAAAAATAAGTTTGATTGAATATAAAATAAATGTCACAGCATAGAAATCAAAATATAAAAATACATAAAATTAAAAACAATGTCTTGAGTGCCATGACAATGTTTGTTTTTCAATAAAATAAAATTAATAAAATAATAATAACAACATTTATTTTTTTAAATATTAAAATAAATATACAAACAAAATAATGATTAATATAATAAATATAAAATAAAGTGTTTGATGAATATAAAAATATTGAACTACTAAATAAAATAAAATGCATAATATAGAACAAAACATTTGACTAAATATAAAATAATGTAAAAAGAAGAAAATAAAAAAATAAAAAAAATTTGATTGAATATAAAATGAATATCACAGTATAGAAATCAAAATATAAACATTTATAAGAATAAAAAAAATGCCACTACTGAACGCTGCCTGCAATTCCTCACGCCTCATTCCTGATCCCTGTCAGACTTCGAACGCTGTGCACATATAATTGAGGATGGTGTGTTTTCTTTATTCTGTGTGAGGTTTGGACGAACCCATCGCATGTAATTGCGCCATCTGTGCAATTTGGGCCAAAAATTGGTCATGCTCTAAAGGAGGCTGTGATGATCGATGGCTTATTTTTTCATCCCCAAAACACACACACCTGAGAGAGAAAGTGCACATTTTCCATGAACACGCAGTCCAAATGAATAGGTCAATCTTTTGCCCCTCCCCCCCTTAAAATGACACTAATTTAGAAAGAGCAAACTTTCTAGACTAGGAGGCCTTTTCTTTCTTTTAACGCCCCCCTTCTAAGCCCTCCCTGTTCATCTATCTTCAATTTGGCCTTGCACAAAAGAAGAAATGGCAGATGAAACCATAGATCATGGCCAGGAAGCCAGACACAGCCCAGAGGGAGAGGATGAATGGGGGGAAAAAGAAAGAGAATGAGAGAAGAGAGAGATTCCATGCGGCCAAACCCATTTGCAGGTTGTCTCTTGGTACACGGTGACAGTACTTGTTGCTCCAGATCCACATTAAGCCCAAGTTCTGCTAATACAGGTTCCATTTCTTAAAGAACATCTCCCACACCAAACATAAATTATGTATCGCCATCAAACCGATGAAAGCCCTGTGGGGTAAATGTCCATGGTTAATCTGAGTCAGGGTGAGAAAGTCCCAACACTGTTTCGATGAAAAACAGCATCCTGGGATGCAACATCTGTGGTCATATAACTGACGGGACACACCAGCTTAGAAATTATGGCAAATCAGTAAAACCAAAACTTTCAAAATATTCACACCTGTGACTATAAATCAACTGAAAACTTAGTAGTATGCCAAATTACTGCTGCTTAGCAGCTGTAAACAATCTACAGTTCGACTGATAGAAATACTTAATATTTAAAGGGATTCTCCACCATTTTTTCATATTAAACTATGTTATTCCCTTAACTAAGACGAGGTGATACATACCTCTGTCGTCTCAGTGCGATCGCTCAATCGCGAGACACTTTGATAGCACTTAAAGGGATAGTTCACTTTGAAATTAATTTTTGGTATGTTTTAGTTTACCTCAAGGGCATCCAAGATGTAGGTGTCTGTGTTTCCGCAGTATTTTCTGCACATGCTCTATAGAGAAATCGAGACATGGGTGTTCAAATCTGTCCATTTCTCTCTCTCTCTGACGATTTCCTATTCTCCTTTCACTCTCTTCATCAATAGAGTGGCAAAAGACCCACAAAATAATTGTTTTATTACATCAGACATACTTTCCAAAGCACTAACTTGACAGTATAATCAACAGTTTGTCTAATTAGCACAGTATGCTGACATTCAGACTCCGCCCCCTCTGGAGGAACCACATCATATTTGTCAACGACTTAAACAGATATAATCCACAGCTCCTACTTTAAGATCAATTTTGATTACATGCTTAAATTACTCTATATTTAGTTTTAAATGGTAGCTTTTGGCTGGGTTATGTAAAGCAGCCTCCCTGTTAACATGATAAACAAGAAATAAAACATAATTAATGTGCAGTATTTGTGTCACTTCATTTTCCAATCTCTTTATTTTACCGCCTATAAATGTCTGTCAAATGCTAATGCAAACTCGAAATTCCATCCATGTCTCTCACAGGGCAAATATGCGAGAAGAAACGGCCTTCACGGTGCAGTGTGTTATTGAACGCAGGCGCTCACTGCTACACGTCGGTCGAGTCTCCAGCTACGAGCTCAATAAACCTCCTGCTTTATCAATACCAGCACACATTCAAGGATTTGTGTGTGTGTGTGCAATGTGCATGGTTTATGGATATCACCATGGCAACATCTGGCATCTGGAATGGCTCACTTGGTCACTATGTCACGTCTGGACGATCTCCTCAGTAAAATCACGGTGAGAAGGGAAAAAAGAACAAATTAAGGGTTGCAAAATGACGGAATGAGTAAAAAAAGAGCGTAGCAGAGAGGAAAAGCTAGCAAAAGAATGAAAATTATGTCATAAATAGCTTCATCCAGCTGTGAGGTGAACTGTGATTTGGGTTTAATTGCTGTAAGTGTCTTTCCCTGTGTGGTTGTGTTTACACTACCAGTCAAAATCTGGACACACTTCAAATTCAAAGTGCCCAACACTTCTCACAGCATATGTATTATAATAATAAGTGTATGTTTGTGTATACTGTAAAACAGCACCGGTCAAGCGTTTGGACACATTACTACTTTTAATGTTTTTGAAAGAATTCTTCATTTATTTGATCAGTAATATTGTAAAATATTATTACAATTTCAAATAATGGATTTCTATTTGAATATACTTTAAAATGTCATTTATGAAAAGCTGAATTTTTAGCATCATTACTCTAGTCTTCGATGTCACATGATCATTCAGAAATCATTTATATGCTGATTTATTATCAATGTTTGTTTTGTTTTTTTGGGAACCTGTGATATTTTTTTTCAGGATTCATTGATAAATAAAACGTTAAAAAGAACAGCATTTTTCAAAAAATAAATCTTTTCTAACAATATAAGTCTATAATATCACTTTTTAGCAGTTTAATACATCCTTGCTGAATAAAAGTATTAATTTCATAAAGAAAAAAAATGACAGCCCCCAAATGTTTGAACGGTAGTGTATATCGTTACAAAAGATAAATGCTGTTCTTTTTTAAAAACTTTTTTATTCATCATTCATTAAAAAAAATTATA